TCTGATTTTCTGTCAGATAGGGATTCTAGAAAGTCAACTTTTGGATATGTGTTTACTAAGAGGTGCAGCTATATGTTGGAGGAGTATCAAGCAATATGGTATTGCTGATTCCACCATGGAGGCTGAGTATGTGGCGGCTTCTAAAGTAGCCAAAAAGACAGTTTGGCTTAGAAACTTCCTAATCAATTTAGAAGTGGTACCCTCGATAAAATCTGCTATTACACTTTATTGTGACAATAACGGAGCAGTTGCTAATTCGAAGGAACCACGAACCCATAAGAAGGGGAAGCACATTGAGTGCAAATATCACCTTATACGAGATATCATGGGAAGAAGTGATGTAGTGGTGACCAAGATTGAATCAGCAAATAACCTGGCAGATCACTTTACAAAGAACTTACCAGCAAAGACTTTTGATAGTCATGTAGAGGGAATGGAAGTTAAATGTATGACAACATGGCTTTGAGTATAAGTGGGAGAATTGATAGAGTAGTATACTAAAAGTTTGCTTTTTATAGTGAAACTCGTTTCATTAATTAAGAATTTTTTTTTTAAATTGAGAATCTATATGGGCAAAATATTTGTATTATATTTTATATATGATATGCATGTGTGCCTTATATTTTACATTATAAATAATCTGGTGTGTAGATTTTGACTTATGTACAGAAGACCAATTTATCAAATCCTTGTATAATATGAATATATGTTCACAATCGTAGATGAAATTGGACACGCCATCGGTATGATTATAGTGTAATATTCTGGCATAGTCTGTTTTGACTGTAGAAAATTGTTTGATATCTCAGATTATTGCACTAGTACACTTTGTGTATTGAATAGACCCGTGTTGAGATTATTATCTTTTACTGATTAATAAGATAATAAATACCTCATGATTATTATGATTGCTTATGTTATTAATCCCTAAATATTTAATTGCCATGTGCATGTAATGTTTGTCACTTTAATTCATCAAAGAGTGAGATTCATATTGGGTCAATAAACTTGATGAATTGGGAGGCGATGTTATTTGTATGGTAGAAATTAAATATTAAAGGAAACTATATCCTAGTATTTATGTGGGTTGATGATATCCTCTTAAGAAAGCTCATAAGGTTTGTCCATATCAAACCCTACAGGTGGATTTAATTATCCGACATGACAAATAAGTTGAGTGATAAGGTCTCAATGAAAAAAGAAATCAATTAAATATAATTGTCAATGATTTATTTAATTGATGGACATCTGTAATCTAAAACGTAGGGAGATTATTAAGAATATAATAATAAGGAGCTCGAATATAATTTTGAGATAAGGCACAAGAGATCAATAATAAGTCATTAGTGGACTGCCTTATTATTAATGGGTTGTAGGATGTTTGTTATAGGTTGAATATAGGAATCCTAAGTCCATTGAGAGCACGGTCCTTATTTCTCCTTAAGGTATTTATCGTAGCCTATATACAGATGTCTAGGTTCTCTATTTCAGCATATATTCTTTACTCACGTTTTTTAGAGAGGCTGGAAGAGAGAACAAGGATTCGGGATCTTGGTAGCCCACACTGCATCTGGATTCTGACGTTTGAGGATATATGATAGAAGACCGTGAGGTTCGTCGAGCTGTAGTCGTTGTTCTGTTCTATGTTCGTGCTGAGATGAGATCATTCCAGAACTGTAGGAACCTAAGCAAGTATTACCGTTTCCACCGCGACCATGGCCACGACACTGACGATTGCTTCAAACTCAAAACATAGATCGAGGAGCTCATACATCATGGCCAGTTGCGGTAGTACGTTGCAGGCAGAGCACAAGCCCCGCTGCCTGATAGAATCCAGGCTGATAGAGAACACCAGCAGCCCCTTGGAGAAATCCAGATGATCTCTGGAGAGTTATGAGGAGGAGATGACCCCAACTCCACCTGAAAAGCTAGACAGGCAAAGTCAGATGACTCTCGCTCGACAAAGGCGCCCCAACCCGGGGTAGGGGAGGTCATCTCATTCTTAGACAGGAACTGTGAGGGGATCCAACACCCTTATGGTGACCCCCTAGTCTTCACCATGTAATAGCCAACTACCAGGTTAAGAGAATTCTGGTGGGCAGCAGCAACTCTGCTAATATCATATTTGAATCAGCCTATGACAACCTCCAGCTTGGCAGGGAGAGGTTGTAGCCCATCAAGACAGCCCTTATTGGATTCTCGAGGAGAGGATTTATCATTTGGGTTCTATTATCCTGCCAGTCATAGCAGGGATAGCACCAAGAAGCTCCACTATCATGGTGAACTTCATAGTATTGGACAGTCCCTCTACCTAACATCATTCCTAAACACCTTACACTCAACACCTTAAGGGTAGTGCCATCCACGTATCTCCTTGTTCTCTGTTTTCCCAACCCTCTATGGGGTTGGAGAAATTAGAGGAGACCAAGTCGTCCCCAGAGAATGCTATGTGGCCTCTATGAGGCTCAAGAAACCCCAAGAGGCTCTCTAAGTGGAAGTGCTCGTCCCTAGGGATGACAACACATTGGAAACGGGAAATTCTTGGGCCACCCATGGGACGCCAAACACCTGAGGAGGTATTATCAATAACGGGGTACAAGCCAGTGATTCTCATTTATGTTGTCATTTGTTGTTTCAGTTGATTTAGTATGTTATCTACTTTAAATTATGAAATAAAGTGTCTAGAACTGTCTTTTCTTCATTCCATAAAGTTTATAAACAATTTAAAAAAAATTAGAACATGACCTAGCAACAAAGACAGAGACAAAAAGATAAAAAATGTCACACTTCTGACATCACTCACTGCTCCCCGATCCACTCTCATCAAAACTCTCCCCATTACCATCAGTCCTTGGTGCCTCATATGGGACGAAGCCAGAAAAATCAATGGCAGGAAAAGTTGTTGAGACCTTCCCCCTAAACTCCTAATAGCCACAATAAAGGAGCCTACAACGAATCTTTGAGTAGCCTCCCTCCTCATCTCTATCTTAATGGAATGACTCTCTACCCTGGTGCCCCTCTCATGAGCTGCTTGCAGGTTAACCTTTACCAAGACAGCCCTCTCCCGAGTTATCCGTAGCTTTGGCTTAACTTTAGTGGCCCTCTAGCAAGACGCTTGCAGCTCTGTCTCTACTTTCGCGTAGACAGTCTCTTTGTCAACCTCCAACTGGGCGACCCTCTGATGGGACACCAAAAACTCGACCTCAAGAGGTGCAGCTCTCTCATGAGCTAGCCTCAACTTCTCCTTAGCAGGCTCTTTTCTCCGCCTCTCTAGCCTCAACTGAACCTCAGTAACCTCTCATGCTTGCCTCTTTTCTACCAGAGCTATTGATGTCTCTCCAAACTTAACAGTCCTCGAAAAGAGGTAGGGACAAACAATAGCCTCCTACAAGCATTTAGAAGATAGGATATGAAAGAAAAGACAAGGCGAAGAAATCAAAGCTAAAAAGGAGGAAGGTATACCATATCAAACCCCTCAATCTAGGTATTGATAATGCCTTCTGGACCCCAATAGCCAATCTCTCTGATATCTGCAGCCGTCACAAACCTCTAAAGCCGTTCCTTGGCCAGATTCATGTCCTGTAGCATGGATGCCGAGCCACTGCCAGAAGCAAAACAAAAATGAGGAGCTCCAGTCCAGATAGAGGGCTATGCAGGAATCTTAGCTCCCAAAGCAGTGGCAAGACTAAGTTAGCACTCGAAGGAGCTGTACGCTGAGAAAAAATGGGGGCACCATCTGATCCAGCCTCCTAGGATATAGCATGGTTGTCGAACCACTGGGAGGCACTAGGGGTATTGGCCTTCGCCCTCTTGGGGAGAAGGGAAGACGACACCTTACAAGCATAAAGAGCCTATACCATCGCTCTATTAATAGTGGGACCTGTGGAACTGGTATAAGACGAAGAACCTACAATATTACAATCATCAAAGTTTACTAGAAGGATCAAATACCTTTCCTCTTTTGCCTAGGGGACGCTCTGGGATGACCCGCAGCGGACATGAGGGCCTTAAACTCCTTGGTAAGATGATCACACACGACCTGGAGCCTACTCTCTTGCTCTGCAGATAATGTGGGTGGAGTTGCAAGGGAACCAAACATGCAGCGAATACAAGGGACATGATAGTCAACGTAAAAACAAAGGTAAAACTCTTTCCTAGCTTGGTCCTTATAGCAATGTCCCACCTCGAAGGCACAAAGTCATGATCTTCTTCAGCGGCCCACTCACCTCTAACAAAGAAGAACCTAGATTTCCAACTGTGGCAATTTGAAGGAAGTCTAGTAATAAACTTAACAGACGTCGGAGAGAACCGATACCATCCTTGATGAGGAGTATGATTATCTAGTAACATGTACAAAGACATGAACTTCTCAAAAGGAGGAAAAACACCCTCTCCATGAACCAACCTCCATAACAAAAAGAACGCCAAGATTACCCTCCAATCATTCGGGGTCAATCTCCCTGGAGCTAGTGATAAGTGACCCAAAATCTAATAGATTGGCCTGGGTATACGAAATCCCAATCCTGCCTCCAACACATCCTCATAGAAGACGATCTCTCCCTAGGAGTGATAACATGCAACCTTGCCCCTCTTGGCCTGGCGACACATAATAGCAGGAGGAATATGGAATGAAGAAACAGTGTGGGTGATACCATCGTCGTAGTCAATTGAACTAAAAATAGAGGATACATTCGACCCATCGCCTTTAGCAGCTCTTTTGCCTTAGTGCAAAACCTGTGTAATATCTGTCATACTGCCCCTACCAGCTCAGGTACCTAACAAAATAGAGGCCAATAAAAGGTGGAGGGGTGTCTGGATTAACAAAAGTTATGAGCGTGATTAAGTTACCTAGTTGAAAGGTGGTGCCTTGTTTCCTTCCACAGTCCAATCGATCACCTCTAGTGCCATCCACTCCACTGAACAATGCCTCAATGCCTACATCTGTTCTCTAGTGCCTGGACCCCCTACTCCTATACCTAACACTACATGAGGACCAACGCCTAACTTGCAGCGAGGACTATTGCCCAGCGCGTTGCTAGCGCTGCCCATACTGCTGGAGCTGTATAGCTCGCCACTAGTGCCACCCAGTGTGCAGTTGGCATCACTCGTGCCTCTCCCCATTTTGGCGTCATCATCCGTGCCCAAGGGGTCGCCCAGTTATCTTCTACCAACGCCTATCCTACCTCTGCCTAGTGTTTTGTCTCTACTTGCATAGCCGTCTGTATCACCCAGGCTTGGGCATCACCCACATACAAACATCGCACCTTTGGCATTGCCTCTACTACCGCTAGCATCGCTAACTGCGGTGTCGCTGCCTAGGCCCAATGCTCCTATGCCCCTTGCTGAAATGAAGGCGCCCCTAGGTTCTGGCATCATCAAGAAGTCATTTGGACCCTTCTATTGCTTTATTTTCCTATGTAGAGTTGTCCATGGAACCCTCATTCGTTAGCTTCCCGCTCATCTCTCCTTTCCTCAATCTCCCTTGATGATTTGTGGAATGAAACCCTAGCTCCAAAGAAAGTATTTTGGTGGCAAAAAGAAGGAATTATTTAAAGCCCTTAGAATAGTAATAAAGGTGGAGAAAAGGGCTTTTTAAATATGGAGGAGATGAAGTCTCCTCTAGAATGGTGGTATCACAGTGGGTGTCTAGCGAGTAAACAAAAAAAAATAAAAAAGTGAGCTCTCGAGGTGCAGACGGAGCAAGAATTTGAGGAAGTACCACCATGCAGAACTAGAAACCTTTTGCCTGTCCATGCGAAGGGGCTCATTCCTACCCTCTACCCCTTTCTCACAACAAGAGCTTGGGGTATGGGGGCAAATGATGAGCTCAAATCCAGTTGGGTCTAGGCCTAATTCATAGGTAAACCCAAATCAGTTAAAAGGTAGGTTAAGCCCAGCTCGTGGCGTTAGCCCAGTTTGAAGTTTAGGGAACCAAGGAAGATCAGTGCACATGGGGAGTAATTACCGGGAAAATCACTATTCGAAGATCAAGACTACTATCTTTAATTGTGCATATCCTTAGCGGTAGCCATCCTCCCCGAATGACTAGTAACCTTTCCCTCATGCCGCCACCTCAACTAAGGCTCTATGCTTATAAATTGTAAGCCCTTTACACATGAGAACAGACATCTATCTCTCACATAGCTACCTCTCTCTTATAGTTATCTCACCTAGAGCTTACCTTTGCTCTCTTTATCTCTCTCTCTCTCTCCCACTTACTACCTTGTACTCTCTCATTGATAAAGTTATCCGGTCATCATCGTCGCCTTTAGTGGTTTGGTCATCTCAGCCCAACCACCCAATCTTTGCCTTTTTGCTATTGATTGCTTCATTAATTGCCCCAAATCATATACTTGATTGTTGATTGTGCACAAATCCATTTTTGTATAATCAAACTCTAAAACTTGAATCTAATTAGACAAATTTATTTTTCAATCAGGTATGGATAGGTTTCTTATAAGAATATCAACATTGGAACAACCGCCTCCTAATCAAAAAATAGATGATTGTGGTGGTGACATACGACATTGTTCTAAGCAAAGTCGTGAAAAAGTCAACTTAGAAAATCTTCTTGTGGATCTTAGCCTAAGATTTAGAATTTTGGATTTTGGCCGGGATTAAATTCGGAGAGCAAATCTACAAAAAAGGCCCATGTCAATCTTGTGAACGTAATTTCCCCAAAAGAAATTTGGCAAGCTATGTCTTCATTTTAGTCCTTCTTGGTTCAATGAGTTTGACAGTTGGTTGGAGTATAGTATTAAAAACGATACCGCTTGTTACTTATGTTGCTATCTAATGAGAAGCGATATGGGGGAGCAAGAGGGGTGGTGACTCTTTCGTTAAAGAGGGATTTCATAACTTGAAGAAGAAAGAAAGATATCAAATTCATGTTGGGGGTCCAAATAGTGCTCATAATGAGAATTGGAGAAAGTGCCAAAATCTAATGAATCAGAAGCAACATATTGAAGTTTCTTATTCTAGGCAATCAAATCAAGCTCAAAAAGAGTATTGAGTTTGTTTAACTGCAGTAGTTGATTGTGTTTGATTCCTTTTATGTCAAGGGTTAGCATTTCTTGGTTATGATGAGTTCAATGAATCAAAAAATCAAGGCAATTTTCTTGAACTTCTACGATTTCTTGTTGAGTAAAATGAAACCATCAATGATGTTGTTTTAAAAAATGCTCCAAAGAATCTCAAAGTGGTAGCACCAGATATTCAAAAGGATATTGTCCATGTTATTGCAAGTCAAACCACATGCGCAATAATCAATGATCTTGGAGATAATTTTGTTTTCTATTTTAGTAAATGAATCTCGTGATGTTTCAGTTAAAGAGTAAATGACAGTTCTGTAACGTCATGCAGATAAAAAGGGATGCATTACTGAGCGTTTTCTTGGCATAGTCCATGTTACTGATATAAATGCTTTATCACTTAAAGTAGTGATTGAATCATTATTCTCAAAGTATGGATTACGTATGTCAAGATTACGTGGACAAGGTTATGATGGAGCCAATAATATGAGGGGATATCTTGAAAGTCTCATCATAAAAGAGTATGAATTTGTTTTTTATGTTCACTGTTTTGCTCATCACCTTCAACTCACACCTGTGGCTGTTCCAAAAAATCACAATCAAATTGCACTGCTTTTCAATATTGTTGCTATTTTATTGAATGCTGTTGGAGCTTCATGAAAACAATGAGATATTTTAAGAGAGAAGCAAGCTAGTAAGGTTATTCAAGCACTAAACAATGGAGAGTTATCAAGTGGGTGTGGTTTGCATCAAGAAAGTAGTCTTCAAAGGGCCGTTGATACACGTTAGGGCTCACATTATGACACTATCATAAATGTGATTTTTTTGCTCTCCTCTGTAGTTGATGTGCTTGAGATTCTTGTAGAGGATGGTACAACTTCTGAGCAAAGAGGTGAAGCGTGTGCTTTATTGGATTCAGTTCAATCTTTTGATTTCGGATTCAATTTACATTTGTTGAAAGGTTTATTGGGAATTACAAATGAACTATCACAAGCATTATAAAGGAAATATCAAGATATTTTAAATGCTATGAGTTATGTTAAAGTATTCAAACAATGTCTACAAATGATAAGGGATGATGGATGAGATGCTTTAGTCGCTGAGGTCTCTATCTTTTTGTGGAAAACATGATATTATTATTCCAAATATGGATGAGATATACATAGCTCGAGGAAGGTCGTGGGTGGTGAAAAAGTCACTAATCTACACCGTTATCATGTTGAATTATTTTCTACGGTGTTAGTTATGCAACTTCAAGAGTTTAGTGATCGTTTTACTGAGGTGAACACCGAACTACTTCTTTGTGTGGCATGCCTAAATCCAATGGATTCATTCTTTACAGTCAATAAGGAGAAGTTACTTCGTCTTACTCAATTTTATCCTTCAGAATTTTCTCCAATGGAGCTCTTGATACTTGATAATCAACTTAAGACTTATATACTGGATATGCACTCCAAAGAATTTTCAGAAGTTAAAGGAATTGGCGGGCTTGTAGAGAAGTTAGTTGAGACTAAAAAGAATATAGTATATTCGTTGGTATATTTGTTCATCAAACTAGCACTTATCTTGCCAATTGCCACTGTAATAGAATCGATTATGAAATTGAATGTGAGATCAATGAGTGAATAAATGCTTGGTTACATATATTGAGAAAGATGTTTCAAGTATCATTGCAAATGAAATGATTATGAAACGATTCCAAAATATAAAAACTTGTCGAGAATAATTATAAGGATTTATTGGATGTTCGAGAGTTGGGAGATCCCTTTGTATAGGATCTCGAACACTAAATGATACTTTTGATGTGAAGCTTTTTTGTTGTCTTTTCTTGTACATCACTCATATACATGAGTTGAGCTTCTAAATGACATTCTTTTGATGTAACTGTGCTTATAAACAGTTTATCAAGAATATATATTTTAATGAAAATAATGTTACAGTTATACTTTGAAATTTAAGAATTTAGGTTGCCCCTACTGAGGTAAAATCCGGGCTCTACCCTGTACATTTCAATATATACCCAAAAAAAAATCTTACTTTGACCAAGAATTTTGAAGTAGATGTATTTGTTGGTTGCACTTTGAGCTTATGGTCAATATTAATTAAGGAACATAAATGCACACACATCCATTGAACTTCCAACTTTGAGAAAGAAATTTTTTTTTTTAAAGCAACAACGCTGTCCAGTAGGCCAAGTACTTGGCCAAACTTCTTTTTTTCTCTCTAACATTTTCTCGATCATCTAGTTCATATTCTATTACCTTTCAATCTATACTATTTATTACCCAAATTAGATGACAAGTGGACTTGGAATGCAAAACATCCCTTTAAGCACATCTAATCTCATAAAACTCAAATTACAGTGCTAACCTATGTCTAATCATATTCCACCACTTTCAACAGGGGCTTTTAAACATAGAACAAGTTGCATACAACTTTCCACGCAATACCCACTTAATGTTTCCAATATACTTGCATGCATTCGTTCTTCAAGCACCTACTAAATTTAAAATCCGAATTCATTTTATTTTGCGTAGGACTACATTTCCAACAATTAAAATAGAACTTACCAATACATTAAGTCTTTTTTGATATCGATTCAATTCTTTTCACCGCTTTCTTTTGTATCTTTCATGATTAATGTTTCACAGCTTCTCCCAGTCATGAAAATTCTTCAAATTTATCTATATCCAAGTACTGAGAATTCAGTTTATACAATCAAGAAAATAGAGATAAAGTGTTATAGAATTAATAAAATTCAGCTATACAATCAGCTTATACAACAAATCATGATTTCATTATATATGCTCCTTAAACGAATTTTCAGTTTAGGTAACATGCATTTGCTAGATGAAACAACGTTGTGAAGAAGTCAAATCAACCCCGATATCCAAAAGCTCCTTCAACAATTGGTCCCTAATTTGAAGAAAGATTCAGGGCATACACATAATGTTTTTGACACCAGGAAGCCTTAAAATGCAGTTATATCCTGATTCCAAAACAAAACATCGAAGTCAATATGAAAATACATGAACCATAGAAAGGAAAAATAATTCACCATGGCATACATACCAATAGCTCATGAGAAAAGTCATCTGAAGAAGTTGTCTCTTGCCTTGATCTTCTTCGTTCAAGAGGAGGGCCATCTGTCAGTCTTATAAATGTTTTACTCTTATAAGTTCGGTCAATTAGGCTACTTTGGTTGAGAAATAGGGTATGCTAACAACCACAAATAAAAACAAATAGATCTATTTAGGAAAAAGTATATATTTCATGGTAGATAGGGACCATGAGCAAATCATATGAAAAAATCAAAGCATTAATGAATGTAAACTAATTTCACAGAATTATAACCAAATTTCAACTAACACTGCAACTCCCAGTAAACTAATTCGCAAATTGGCATCATGAATGTTCAAAATCAAAAACCCATTGCACAATCCATGGCTTCAACTGTAAACCTTTTATCATCTATTTCCCAATCCAAAAAATAAATAAAATTCTATTATCAATGGCATACCTGAAATTACACAAAGTGAAAGAAAAAATTAAAACATACCAAAAAAAAAAGAAAAAATTAAAACCCAAGAAACATAATCCAATGAGTGTCATAAGAATAGTTACCTATCAAAGACGGTCATAAATTCAATCCACTAAATGAGTATATAGTGAATTCATATCAATCAAACAATATTCAATGGTAGAGTATACAATAGTTCTCTTAGACAATTCAACAATCGCTTAGTGTGGAGTATGAATTAGCAACAAATTAAGACCAAATACAATTATTTCCCCAACATTTACCACCAAATATGTGTTGTGTGTGTGTTTTGCATGTGTGGGGGGGGGGGCAGAGAGGAAAGGGTAAGGGGAGGGGGTTTGGCGTGTTTCTACGTGTTTTGTGTATTCTGTTTTTGGATGTGTGTGTTCTATTTTGGTATATGTGTGTTCAATGTGTGTAGTTATGTGTGTACGAAGTAGAGGATAGAGAAATGGGAGGAGAGAGAGAAATACCTTGGATTGTCACTAGAGTTCCAAGTTGGAGATGGAGAGGTGAGAATGGGGTGAGAGATTCTATGTATGTGTGTGTTTGTTCAGCGTAACAGAGAGGAGAGAATTGGGGAAAAAAGAGAAAGAGATGAGACTGGAGAGAGAGAACAGTGGTAGGGGTGATAAGACACAAATAAGGGGAAAATATGTGTGGAATAAAATTCAACTTGTATAGATTAGTGGTGTATGCTATGACACGTGACTTGCAAATCCTGTGTATGTGAGAGTGAAACAGAGAGAGACAGAGATAAAAGGAAATAAAGGAAATGAGAGAGATTGAATGGAGAAAAGATAGAGACCCAAGTGGCATACATGTTTGTCGGTGTGTGAAGAGAGAGTGAGAGAGAGAGAGGAGAAGAGAAGGGCAGACATACTCAGTTCCAGAGAAAGGAGAAACCGAATCAAATGCCTTTGCCGAAGGCTGTGCTTATGGATTGCAAACTTCGAGGCTTTGAGTTGAGTTGAAGAGTTGGAGGCTTTGAATTCGAGCTAAGCTGAGGAGTTGCTGGTGTAGTCTAGACTAGAGAAGAAGAAGAAGACCGCAGCAGGATATGGTTTTCGTTGATTTAGGGCTCCAAATTTTCGTTTATTTTTAACTGAGGTATTATTCGAACCGCTCACGTTATACAAACCTACCGGTTCACTAGTTTTTCGCCAAAAATTGGCCAATTTTACGGTTTAAGTGCAAAAGTGGTCTGTGAGACCCGATCATGCATTGCATGCCTATTAGTATAATTTTGTGGGCTAAATTATAATTATGTAAAATTATTAAAGGTTTGATTATAGTAAACCTTTCTTAGCCATGATGTGTGTGAACATACATGGGGTATGTGAATCGCATTAGTGATGTATTAGTGAGACTCATTTATAGAAATTTCATATGTGAAAATAGTGGTGGATCGATTTTGAATTCACTTAAGAACTTGGGGGGAGGCAAGAGTAATTACCCAATTAAGATGGGTCATCCTTACATTTGTAGATATATGAAATGGGTGTGTTTGATTGAAGCCAAGTGGATGTGTGTGTATGCCGTGTGTGTGTGTGTGTTTGTTAAGGTGTAAAAGTGTGTGTGTTTAAAACATGATGTAGAGTGTGTGTGTTCTGTTTTTGCTGAAACCGTGAGTGAGGGAGAACAAGAGAGAGAGGAGAAAATAGATGTGTGTGTGTGCCTCTTGAGCCGAGAGCAAGGAAGGAGAGAGGGAGAGAGAAAAACCAAGTTTGGTGGGTGTTTCTAGTTCAAACTGAGAGGGAGAAGAAAGGAAAGAAAAGGAAGGAACTTTTGGGGAGCCGCCATGCCAAACCGAGAGTAAGAGAAGTCAAGAAGAAGGTGGGAAAAGAAGAAGAAAACAAGAGAAGGTAAGGGTGTGTGTGTGTTCTTTTGTGTCTGTGTGTGTGTGATTAATTTTAAGTTCAGGTCGGGTTATCATAGTATCCCACCACAACGCTTGCGCCGGTGGTAGTAAAGCTTGAATAAACCAACCAAAGCCGTCTGTTCCTTCCTTAATCGGCTCGACAGGATTATCATAACCGGAATCAGGAATGATTTCCCGGTCAGAGAACCAAAGCGAGCCTTTGCCAAGTAAGCGGCTAGATCCTCAGGTTTAAACAAAGTGAGTAAAGCTGAGGCGTCCACTGGTAGAGAATGGTAGATAGTCATTTGAAACTTCCGCCATTTCTCTACTAGGGGCTTCCCGTCCCTTAACTTAACACAAGACTCCTTGCGGTAGTCTTTGTAAGTATTCGGACCAGAAGTGAACGTAGGCTTAAAGGAAAACCACTGTAGTAATGCTCAACGGGATCTTCCTATAAGCTGGTGCATAAGCGCTGAGCATCGGGCTTGGCTTACAGGAACTACCAGATTGCTAGATCTTCTTTCTTATTATATGTTCTATCTTGATCTAAAACTACCAGTAAGAAGAGTGTAGGAGAGAGATCAAAGAGTAGTCCTCTTGTCACATCCTTAGCAGGGGATTCCTTCCTCTCTATGCCCACCCTGATCTACGCTCATCCCTTCTTTCCTTCTTCCTAGGAGCTAAAGGTCTTATTCCCTTAAGCAGTCTGAAGGCGCTAGGTACTGTCTTCAAGTGCCTCTTACAACCCAGACGCTTCTCCTAGTGATGTTAATATCATTCTCTCGTCCTGTAGCTCTTATTAGACTCCAAGATCTCAATGCTATTTGAGGAGAATCAGTTTGCTCCTGTAGGTTTATATCCCTCTAGAATGCCTTATAAGCCCTTCTATCTATCCCTCTCTTGCTAGTAGCTCTCTTCTTTCCTAGTAGCTTGACTTCGTTCCTGCACTGTTAGTTTAGTAAGGCCTAAGAGCTTCTTCCTTGAGGGGCCCGTCCAGAAGATAATGTATTCTATCTGGTAGCTAACCCGACGAGCTGCTGTTGATAAAGAATAAATATCTTCATTAATATAAGGCTGCAAGACAGAGACTTCCTCCTCCGGCCTTTTTCTCCGAGTTGCAAGTAGCGAGGAGGTTACTGCGACACGCATTAACTTCCTTCCTGTTTTGGTAGTGTAATAAGGCTTCTAAGGTTCTTGTATGCTATGGACCGAGCCGAATCCTTTTTATCCCCGCTACGCCTAAGAAGGAAGTTAGCTGCTTGCCCTATGGACGGTCATAACTAATGAGCTAAAGGAAGAGTGCAGAAGCCCAATTCCTTAACCTAACTGTTAGCTCTTGAAGGTTGGTAGTTGTTCTGGCCCCACATTCCTGCCTTTATTAAGTAATGAGCTAAGGGCCGAACTCTCGAATATGAGCTATCTTTTTTGTAGTTCCTCTCCGAGTAGCTATTAGTACTCAATCTGGCTGCTAACCCGGTGAGCGGAAGAAGGAATAAAGTATCTCCTGCTGTTAGTAAGTAGCTTCATTTCCTTCCTGTATTGGTAGTTTGATAAGGGTAGTTCAAGCAGTCTGCTAGGAGCTAAGGTTTTCCTTTCTTTCCCTGCGTGTGCCTCTCTTAAGGCTTTCAACTAGCCTTTCTATAGCTTCATGAGTTCCCCTCTTCTGGTTCTCTCTTTGCTCTTACTGGCAGTTTCTATTTCTAGAAGAGAAAGAAGGACGGAACATACTGGATTCTATTGAGCTATCTGGTTGTTCTATTAAGGCAAGCTGGCTGTTAGTGAATAGCTGAGGATAGATGGAGGCATTTGGGTAAGTATGTGGCTTCCTTGAGTGAGTCCTTTCTCTTTCTATCTCTCTGGATGGCAGGCCTTAGTTAGTCTAGTCCGTATAGTAGTTAGCCCTTTTCCTTTTAGATGGATCCTTCATGTGGTAAGTAAAGGTAATAGGTAGGTAGGTATTATGAGTCTTAGAGTCCTGCCTTCTATCTTCTTGCTTCGATTGATTTAGAGCCAGGAAGCCAAGCCCCAAGCAAGGTTTTCATTCCTAGGTTTCGATAAGGCCGTTATTCCTGATTTTAGGAAGGAATAGAGTAAGGCCTTTACCTTTCTAACTCTTGATCTTCAAAAAGAATAGATTTTCCCGCTTCCACTCTGATCGGTAAAGCGGTTGTAAGATGTACTTCTTGAGAGATTGGATTGCCTGAAACAAGGTTAAAAGAAGGTGATCTACGACCAGCCTACATTCGCTTAGCTCGATAAGCTTGTTATAAACCTAAGTCCGTCTTGAACAACAGGAAGATGGAAACAGGTAGAGAGATTGATAGTACGATAGAGGAAAGTCAGGAAATAAAGAACTAAGAGCTCCAAGAGGCAACGCATATCTCGTTGAATCGGTTGAAGCTCTTGTTCTCTCCTCAGATGCCCTCTTCTGGCTAAAAGTCTTGGACTACATAGGGGACAAACCAATTGGGCTTTCACTCTCCTCTAGGATCAGGGAGAGGAGCCAGATTACCTTTTCACACCAGATACCCTTGTTGAACATGTCTGATCTTTAACTGCTTATGGAGAGCTTTGGAAAGCCTACTTTTAGAAGACATTCTTAAGTAATAAAAACCTTACTTTAGGAGAGGCAGGCATTTACCTATCTATCTATCTTAGAGTTGTAAGAGGAGTTAGAATTCTTCCTTGGCTTACTTTCACACTCCTCTCTATATCCAATAAATTCTACACAGTAGAAGCGGCAAAGCATATAAAGGAAGATAGGTTGCTGCTCTTGTGGTCTAAAAGAGGGAGTATAAGCCCTATCACTCTCGTATTAAAGACTTCTTAACCTCTCTAAGGAAGCCACTCCTTACTTTAGGAAAGTCAGGCATCT